GATAATAAGCAGTGAAGAGCGCTGCACACCTTTCCCCCTGAACTCAATTAGAGACGGAAAACGTCGGTTTCCTTTGTACACGAAAAGCTGATGGCCAGCTGAAGGTCAGATCGTGTGACCGTGAGTAAAACAGCGGTGTCCTCGTAGAGTTATCGCTTACCTCGGTGACCTTCTGCAGGACATTGAGTGTACTGTGTTGATTTAATCACTGCTGACCTCTGACCTCTGATCTCTCTGCCCTCATTTATGACTATCTTTTTGTTGTCAAGTTGAAGAGTTTCAGGAAGGCGTGTCTAAAGGACGATCCATGTCCTTGACCAACAGCCGCACTGTTGTGCTTTCTTTTTTTTTTTTTACTCTGCTTTCTTTTTAATCAGGACTAATAACTGTAGTGTGTCACTACAGTTGTGTGCGTGAGTCCTACAGGAGTGGCAAACCAAGGCCCGCTAAACTTGTCCAAATTCTATCATTTATTCATATTATCATTTAGTACTTCTTTCTGGACTTTTTTCTGCAATACTCACGTTTCCCCAATAGATGGCGTTGAAAATGATAAAACCTTTATGCATGACTTTTACATGTCATTTATTTTAGTTCACACAAAGGCTCCATCTATCTGCTCCTGTCCCGGCCCCCCTGTTCAATTTTAGGTCAATTGTAGCCCGCGAGTCAAAAACTTCGCTCTTGACTGGTCTAGACGATGAGCACGTAGTCTTGACTACGTAGTGGCTGATTTTCCATCCTCAATAATGGTGTTAGAACACTCGCATTTGAAGAAAGAAGATCGTTGATCTGATCCCCCGTCTTTCTATATGGAGTTTACATGTTCTCCCCCTGTGGGGCAAATAAAGAAACCATTGTAATTGAAAAACATCCTTGCCACGTCCTTGAATAGTGTCCCTCATTTTGGGAACCTCCAATCCAGAGAATGGATGAAGCTCTAGATTAAAGGATGTGTTAAATTGGACTGAATGTTCCTCACATGGAGAACACCTTTTGAACGTGCGAGTCGTTTTGTACACCAAGTTCTGTTCGCTCTCTTTTTGCCCCTGATGTATATTATGTAGTGGTAAATGTGGACATATAAAATGAAAAACCTCTTTCAGCCTCCTCTAAATTATCTTTCCACCATGTGCTGAGAAATGATACAAGCTACAATCGGGTGAAGAGGGCTGATAGAAAAGCGGTTTTTCTCCCTCTATAAATCTGCGCTCTGCGATCTATGTTCTGTGCTGTGGAGGGCGCAGGCTCCGTTATAAAGTATCTGGTAAGGCGTCGTTTGCTATTAAAATTAAACGGGCTGCTTGCTGGACTTTGTCTCCCGAGACATCTTTGTGTGGGTAATTTACTGACGCGAGATGGAGGTCTGGCTGGCAGTGACGAAGAGCTCATGCTTCTGTTTCTCTGTGACATCTTTAGAGGCTAGACCAGTGGTTCTTAATTGTTTTCCGTCATGCCCCCGCCCCCCCCCCCGCCCCCTTGAGGACAGAAATGTTTTGACACCCCCCTGACCCACACGCCCGCGAATTGAAATACTATATAACATGTAGTTTTATCTGTACAAAGTACTGTATGTGTTGCTGCCACCTAGTGACTGGAGGCTTGTTATCATTCAACCATTACAGCAGTGGTACACTTAGTATGTCTGTGCCGTATTCCACTGGAAGCCCCCCTCCGGCATCTCACCGTGCCATCCCAGGGGGGCCCGCCCCACTATTTGAGAAGTACCGGACTAGAGGCAGAGTGTGGTGTGAGCAACATATATTGCATATATATATATATATATATTTGTTTTGCCTTTATGCTATGGTATACTAACTATAGTGTGTTGCCTCCATGAAATCAATGAACTGCTACAGAGTAAAACTGGATTCAGATTCTCCATGCAACCAAAACATTTTGATCTCTGAAAATGAGATGCTGGGTTGAAGGTTACTTAAAAATAAATAAATAAAACTTAAACAAACGTAACTCAAATAATGCCAAATAAAGCCACGGATGATTTTTGTTTTTAGTATTGCTCATGCTAAAGAAGATCTGCGCACATACTGTACGTAGGTAGATTCAAAGATAGGCAGGACTCTGAATGCATACGTTTGAATTTCCCCGATTGGCATTCCAAGTTATAGATAAATTGATGTGCACTGATGTGCATTTTGAGAGACAAAAACGAAATACAACATTTCAACGTCACAACAGCAGCATAATCTCCAACATTACGGTCCAAATGAGATATTCGATACTTATTTTCCGAAGCCGTAGAGAGCAGGGATAAGAGAGCCACATGCGCAAATGGTTTGATTTATGTTTTGACAGCAATTAAGGTCAGGATGGCAACACTGAGTTTAACACCGAGCCTCTGCTCCTGGTCCCTGTGGAGCCACATTTCCCCAGGAATTCTTGGTGTCCCCATTTGTCCAAAGCCGTCTTTGATGCAGAGTCCATTAATCACAGGCAACACTCCCTTAGTCTTTTTCTTTCATTTTCACGCCGACAGCCGCGGAAGGCGTTAGCATACCGTACACCTATTCCGCCTGGTGTCCTCCGTTATTATTATTACTTGCCTTTCAAGATGAAAAGTCTGTTCTTGCACTCGGATTTTGTAAAATAAATCCCCCCCCCAAAAATGCAATCTTCTTCATTATGCGTTTTTTGACAGGTGCGACTTATACTCCAGAAAATAGGGAACATCAGATCAGAGATTCTGCAGATTGGTCCTGCACTGTTAACTGGTAATTGTTGTGTTTGTAGATTGTGAATAAGAGACCAGAACCCTTTTTGATTCTGGTTTGGGTTCTTGAAATGTTTGCAGATATTTCGTGCAGGGATTCAGATTTTTCCTGACGAATGGGTTCTGTTTCTGATTTAGTTTTAGGTTTGGGTTAGTTCTTTATTTTCCAGCAGTTTTTCCTGTGCAGAGATCAGATTGTACCGAAGAACCAGTTCTGCTCTGACTAATGCGATGTTTCCTCTACTCCACTGTCACCCCAGGGGCTGCTGCTATGCTACTGATGTGGTCCAATTATTAGTGACATGTTCAGATGTGGTGGATGTGATAGGTGACAGTGTGACCCCAGCAGAGTTCGACTGTCCTCCATCTTTGTTTCATCTCACTTCCTTTCCTCAGAAAAGGGGAGAACATTGTTGAGCTGAGAGATTTTTTATCCATGAAATAAAAAAAGGTTTTATCTCTAGATTCAGGAACTGCTAAGAGATGTTTTGAGCAGCTCCTGTGAATTAATGTAGAACTGTTTCCCACTCATTAAACGCCTTAGTCTTGGGAACATTTAGATTTAATTTTAACATCTGTTCGATTGAATAAAAACGTGTACTATTATTAAAAATCCGTATTCTCACTCACGTTAATTTAGGCAGCAGCTGCTGTGACTTTTAGCTTCATTTAATTACAGAAACATCATAAAGAATTCATGCTTGATATGAA